ACATTGAGGCTGTGCTAGAGCGTTTGTTCAACACAAGGATTCTGCTATTGCAAAAAGCAAAAACAAAACACAGAACGAAATAAGAAAAGAACATTAACAGGCCTATCATTACGGGCCATTCCCTCTTCAGAGGTGCCACTGAACCTTTTCTTCCCCTGAGCTACTTTCACGGGAGTGCCTTCACAATCACATTTTGAACATGAAAGGAATGTAGTGAGAGGAGAATTGCCTTTGGGTTCCCAAGTGGATTTTCCGCTTGGTTCCACTACTTAACGAGGTGTGTGTTCTTAGAAAGCTTATGCAACCTCTCTGGGCTCCAGTTTCTCTGTCTTTCAAGGGATTATAACCCTTGACAGCAGGGTAATTGGGAGGATTCATGGGACAGGATATTCATGGCACACAGTAGCTCCTCATTAAAATTATTGTCTCCCTTATCCTGCCCCCATCAGTGTGCACAGAAATCTTTTTCTCTCTCAACAAAATATATATTTATTAACTTGGTGTATGTAAGAGAGCCAGACATCCAAGATATCTAACTTCTAGAGCATATGTTTTAGTAAAAGGGGAGAGACAAGAGAAAATAAGTAAATCATATGGTATACTTGAAGGTGACACATGCCATAGAACAGATGAAGAGAGGTGAGGAGTGGGGTGGAGTGCAATTTTAAATAAGGCGGTCAAGGTAGGCCTCACGGAGCAAAGACTTGATGGAGATGAGGCAATTAGCCACATGGGTCTGAGCGAAGAGAATTCTAGGTGGAAGGAATGGAGAATGCAGATGTCTTACAGTGACAGCGTTCTTGGAATGTCCCAGAAGCCACAGGGAAGCCAGTGTGGCTAGACCCAAGTGAACAAGGGGGAGAAGTAGGAGGTGATGAGGCAGAGGAGAATAATAAGGAGGCGGATATATACTTCTATTAGAGCATAGACTCTCAAAAGTCACACCTTTGTTCAAACATATAATAGCAAATTTTTCTACAATACTAGGATTTGGAGAAAACAAGGAGATAATATTTGATAAAAATATATTTTGCCAAGGGGTGAATGAAGGATAGAGGGAGATGAGAAAGGGAGGGGCCCTATTGGAGCCTATCTATCCAGAAATTGAGTTCACTAAAGAGCTCCCTGTACAGGACCTGGGCAGGTAACTCAATTGGTTAGAGCACCAGGAAGATACACCAAGGTTTTGGGTTCAATCCCTGGTCAGGAACACATACAAGAATCAACCAATGAATGCATAAATAAGTAAAACTACAAATCGATGTTTCTTTCTCTCTAAAAATTAATTAAACAAAGAAAAAAAAAAGAAGTCTATTAAAAAAAATAGAGCTCCCTGTACACCGATTCTAGTTTCCTCAGGTGTAACCCACCCCCACCCTCACCCTCACCCTCACCCTCACCCTCACCCCAATTCCTACCTCCCCCAGCATGGCCATTCGTGAGACAATCTCTTGGAAACTCCTTCCAGCTACCATCTCCCCAGCTTCCGTAGGGCTCCCATGTCCTTCCATGAACTCACTGCCTGGTCACTGATTGGTCCAGGGGCGGGCATCAGACTGAGCTGGGCCAATGATTCCCTCCCCTGTTTGTTTGTTTGTTCAGAGAGAGACTCAGAACAGTCTCTTGCTCAGTCTCTTGCTGGTGGTAGGGTGTGTAAAATGTAAAACTACTGGGAACCACGTGTGAAAAAAAAATATGTGTGAAAAAAGCCTGTCTCTGGTGAGAGAGAAATGAAGGGATTCAGAGAGAGGAGAGGCCAGAGAAGGAGGGAGAGATGGGAGGGGGCCTGAGCCCTCCGTTCCAGTTGTTTCAGAATTTGCCTCCATGCCCTCCTGCTGTTTGGTTGTTGAAGTTTGCCTTGGATTCTGGGGCAACACAATTCCTTTTATGCCTAAACTTGTTTGAATCTGGTTTCTCTCATGCGCATCCTAGACAACCCACTGCCGAAGGGTCTTTGAAGTTTCTCCGAGGCATCCACACAGAGTTTCACTTTTAACAACCTCCCACCTGCCTTCGGTTTAATTTCCTTTAGGAAATGCTGGCCATGAAAGCCACATGTCCACAGTCTAGGACAGCTTTTCGGTCCTTTTTCTATTTTGTGAGCTCCTCCACGAGAAAAGAGGTTTTCGCTCAAAGGCATCTGGGAAATAAGTGCGGCATGCAATCCTGCTATCTTGGAGGAGTCATGGGAGCGTATGAAAGCCTTCCTGCAACGCATACCCGTGTTTACCTTGTCTGAGCAGAGTTTTCCGGGGCTTTTTCATTCTCAGAGCACGTACTATCCCAAAGGCCTGCCATCCCACAGGGCCCGCCTGGGGGCACCCTGACTAGGCCCGCGTGTGACCGAGCCTGTCTTCTTCAAAAGGGCATATTCCCAGGGTGCCCTGCACAAGGAGGTTTGGCCAAGGGGCATCCTAGTGCCAGATGCTGTCAGCCCAGAGAAAAGGACACTTTTGATAATTTTCATAGTCGCTCCCTCTATTCGCTAAGCATGAGCCCATGGGCTGGGTCAACCCCATGAGGGTGCCTTTTCCTAATCTACCTATGGGTGCCCAAGGTCCCTTCTATGTCAGGATTACACCTAGAGGGGTGGTTCCCCCACTGCCTCCTTAAATTGCGGAGAGATGAAGCTGTCCATGAGAATTAGCAGAGACTGCTTTGAGCAGATGACACCCAGATGTTGAGGTGGTTTAGGCCCCTGTTACAGCTGCGAGACATTGGCGATGCTCTCTGCCTCTGGGGCCGTGTGACTGTCCCCCCAGCTACGGGTCGTCATGATCATGCTTCTGTTCACACGTGGCCGAGAGCTCGCATTTGGTCCTTCAGCCATCTTGTCAAGGGGACGGGTTCTGTTTGCTTTATTGATCTATACTTTATGGATGAGGCAACTGAGGCTCATTCCCGCATCCTCAGCCACACCGAGAGTAACGGGAGAGCTGCAGGTGGATCCCAGGTCTGTCTCTCTGATGCTACTCTCCTGACCCATGACCCTGCCTCGGTCACCAAGCCCTATGTGGCCACTCCCTCCATAGACATATTTCCAATAATTTCTTCTCTATCACCACCCCAATATCTCCTGTGAGGACTTAGGCTCCTTTCTCCGGGGATTGCGAGGAGGTAGGAATGCCAAAGAACCAAGATATCATCTGTGGGGCTATGCAGCCTGGCGGGCAGGACGGGGCCTGTCTCCTGTGTCCAAGGTGGGCTAGGCCTGGCCGTGTCACCAACCTTGGGAGCAGGACTCACTTTTATGTCCTCATCTCTTTCCCTTTCCATAGGAAATTCAATAAGCAAATATGTTCTGGTATTTACAAGGCAGGGTCTCTCTCTGGACCAGGATCCAGCTCCCAGGACCCAGGGCTCTCAGACGCAGGCTGGCCTCCGGGATGTTCTGGAGAGCCGGGCTCCGCTGGTCGGCAGTCAGAGCTTAGTGGGAACACACACTTTCATCCTCCTGCTGGAGGGGAGGGGAACTGCATGTAGAAGAGTAGGCGGTATCAACTAAGTGCCCCTGAGCAATAGCAGGTGGGGTTTGGAGGCCTGGAGCAGGGGGAGCTGCCAGGAGGCATTACTGGAATGACGGGTGTGGTGGCCATTGTACCTTTCAGTGGGAGGAGCAGGAGAACTAACCAGTGTGAGGTGAGTGGCTACACTCAGCTCTCCCCAGCAGGCTCAAGCGAGGATGTCGAGAGAAAGGGAGAGCATGGTGGTGGGGAGAGAGCTTGGAGCTTGTGGCCAGTGAGCCCTGGGGTGGGAGCCTTTGCTGCCTCAGAAGCCTGGAAGGCCCGGGCATGGCGAGGGCTGAGCCTCACAATGGGAAGGATCGGCTGCAGGAACACAGGTTGGGGGCTGCTTGGCCTCCATGCTCCCCCCTATTCCTCAGCTCCAACCTGAGGGTCCAGGCCTTCCTCCTGCTGGAGGCTTCTCTCCCCTCCACCTTCCCTGTGGCTCCTCCTCAGGCCCATCCCGTGAGCCCCTTCCCCACCCCTAACCTTTATGCCCTGAACACAGCATCAGTCTTATTTGGGTCTCTTTTGCATCCACAGTCCCACTCCTGGGCACCTCTTTACTTTCTCCACCTGGTGGAATTGCAGGTGAGGCCAGCATCCCTGGGCTACTGGCTGCATCACTCCATCTCTGCTTCTGCCTTCACGTCGCCCTCTCCTCTGTCTATCCCTCTTATGAGAACCCAGGACAATCCCAAGACTCCGTTCAGATGCTGCATGCACTAGGATGCTTTCCCTGAACCTTTCTCTCCCTCTACTCCAACCCTCCCACCTCCTCCGTCCAGGTGGAGGCCACAGCACCAGCAATACTGGGGTCACAATGGACTACAATAGTGTGTCTCCTCTTCCAGTTTGTGATCAAGGACTCATTCTTTTTCACCTTAATGTCCTGACTTTGGTGCAAAGCCTGCGGTAGTATATATGGTAAATAAATCATTTGTTGAATAAATAAATGAATAAAGCTTTGAAACCTATACACACACAGGCCCCCAGGGGTTCCCACAGGTGTGGTGCCAGGCCCCTGAGTCCCTAACCTTTGGATGTCCAACACTGCACAGCCCCTCCACCTTCCTCCAGAGAAAGAAGTCTGCTTTCTTTCCCATTGGGCCTCCTGGCTGGGTCGGGAAATCCAATATGGCTGGGAGAAGGAAGGGCTGCTCTATCCCTTCCTCTTCCTGAAATCAAGCCAGTCACCTCCCAATCACACTTGTTGACTCAAACCTTCCTCCATGCCCCCTCCCAACACCACTTCTCACCCTACCAGCTTCCCAACACTCCCATCATCTACCCCTCTCCCATCTGGTGAAATCCAAAGAAACTCATCCCAGCCCATGCCAGGGGCACCCCTACCACTCACCAGCATGCCACCAACCCCTTGGCAGAGATCAGTCCCTCACAGGTGGGTTGAGACAGCCCACCTGAAGCAAACCAGTCTTTCAAAGTCCTGCTCCCCTCCGCCATCCCCCACGGCCCAGGTCCATGTGCCCAGCTCACCTGTCTCTCCCCAGATGGGCAGGTACTCATCTTGCTGAATGTCCAGCATGATCTCCAGCCCGTTGCCTGTCCCCCCCTTGACCGTGGTGAGCAGAGGTTTGCCATCCTCGCCTGAGTTAAACATGTAACACTTCCCATATTTTGTAAACACCTGAAGGAGAGAAGAGAGAGAGAGAAGCACATGGGTGACTTCAGACTGGGCTCCAGAGACAGGTGAGACCCCAGAAATCCAACAACAGGCCAGAGTCCCCACAGCCCATCACAATCAACCCGTCAGGGACCAAGGATTCCTCGCCCTGACTAATGGCCTCACTTTTGCCACATGGGATTCTGGCAGGAAAGAACAAAGCTGGACACCCTCTGGGTGTGTGGCAATGGGATCTGCTCTCTTCTCCCTCTGAATGGTCCTTCTGTCCACATGTTGGTCAGCTCTTAACCTCCCAGTCCGCACCTCTGGCCCTGAGAGCTTTCCTGGGCTCCAGACACACTGATCTCACTGCCTAATAAGCATGACCTCCGGGGGACCACAGACCCTGGACACTCACAGGTCCCAGTGGGAACAAATCTTCCTCAGGCTCCCCCCACAGCCATGGTTCCCCCGCATTCTTATTCCCGGAAACAGCACCACTACCTGCCAAGGGGTCATATCCTCTTCCTTTTGGCCTGGCTTTTTCTGTCACATGCATGTGGCCCTACTATGAGCAAGGATTTGGGGATGGCAAAGAAGCACAAGCCCTACCACCTGCCTTCACAGCCTACAGGAAGGGTCAGCGAAACGACAGATTCCTCATGTTCCTCCGCTGTACGAAATGGCTCCGAGTCCCTCCCTGGCAGGTGAACTATTTCAAAACAGACAGGCCCTACTCTCTCGGCTTCGTGGTGGAGACAGCCAGAACACGATTTTTCAAAGAGCTGAGCTTTATCATCATTACTGTATGTAGCCACTGAACTTGGCTAACGAACTTGTCCCCCAGAGAGATGCTCTTAGGGATCGCTATGATGAACGGACGAGAGCGTTTTACAGAGAGCACGTCCACCACCGGGTTGAACACATCCAGAGTGACATCGGGGGTGCGCCAACAGAGGTTTCCTTTGTAGACCCACCAATAACCTCTTTGGTTCCAAAACTGTTGATAATACGAATTTTCCTGTCTATCTAATGGGATTTGTAAGTAGAAGTACACTGCAGCTTAGCACCAGATCACTGGAAATCCTAGCCCCCACTCCCCCTCCATTTGCCACTTGAACTTCAGAATACCGGGCTGGGGTTAGAATATGCTGTCTACTCCTGGAGTCACCTGTGCCCCCGGCCCTGCCACAGACATGCTGTGTGGCATTGATAAAAAAATCGACCCTCTTTGAGCTTCCGAGGGTGAGGACAAGGTATGAGCGCTAAAAGGGGACTCAGAGATGATCTCGCCCACCCGCCTGACTTCACAGGTAAGGAAATGGAGGCCTGGGAGAGACGGAGTGACCTGTCCAAGGCTATGCAGCAAGGACGTATCCATTTGGGACACAGACTCCTAGTTCAACCCGATCCTGCCTTTATACCAGCCTCCCTCAGTTTCCCTACTTGCAAGAGGAGATGGAGGATCTGGGGCATTGCTACCTTCAGTGGATCACTGCCTGAGTGCCTGCGCTGTGCTGGGCACTGGGCTGGCTGCATCAGCGCCTCATGAATCAGCCTTTCCCGTAGAGGAGGGAGCAGACAGGTCCTTGGTGCCCCTTTCCAGGCCTGGCACTCATCCCGGGCTCAGGTGGCAGCTCCTGCAGCTGCCTCGGTGTCAGTGCCATCTTTCCTGCTCCCTGCTCCTGAGGGCGGGTGCTGGGGCAAATGCACAAAGTTGCCAGGTGTGGACTGACGCAGAAGACAGCCTGGTGAGGGATGGTGGCAACCAGAGTGGCAGGGCAGGAAGCTCGAGGGTGACCGCAGCCGTGTCTGAGAGACGGCTGGGACAATCTACAACAGCCAAGTTCCTTATCAAGTCAGGACCGCCATAAAGAGGCCTAACACCCTTCGGTGGCTTCCTGGTGCATTTAAGATAAAGGCCCAAATCCTCACTGGGCCTCCCAGGGCTTGGCAGGAGCTCCCTCTCTCTCCTCTCTCACGTGTCACACACATGGGCTTCTTCAGCTCCTGGGATGTGCAGCCAGCTCACCCCCCACGGGCCCTTCCTATATACTGTCTCTTCTGCTAGAGTGTTCTCCCCACACCCTTTGCCTGGCCAACTGTGTCAAGCCTTGGATTAAATGCCACATCCCCAGAGGCACCCAGCCCCTGCTCCCAGCCTCCATTTAAACTGGGCTCCTTGTATACGACCTCATACCCTTGCTTTTTTCCTTTAGAGTAACATATCAAAGTACGCAACTGATTATTAGTTGGACGTGTCTTACACTGAACTGTAAGCTCCTAGAGAGCAGGGACTGTGTCTGTTTTGTCACATGAACTAATGAATGGGCTCCAAGGTGCTGCTACGCCCCATCCTCTTGCCCACCTCTGGGAGGCGCCCTTTGGTGCTGGCCAGCCGGCTGGCCTGGTTCTGGCGGGACCTCAGGCTGACACCTCCTATCCCTTCCTCTGCTCTGGCCTTCTCAGCTTCCCACTTAATTTTACCGAAGTATTTTTCTTGTGCTTCTCTGTGAAGGTGTTAGAGGAAATGATCCTTTCAGGAACTAAAGACAGCTTACCTTGGGCAGGAGAAGGGGCTCAGACCCAGCAGGGCACCCTCATCTGGCCCCCTGCCCGCCCGCTGAGCCCTCTGTTCCACCCGGCTTTTCTGAGAGGATTATTTTCCTCTCTGCTCAACATCAAAGGCCCGAGGGCTATTTACGCGCAGTGCAGTTTTGCTATAAACTTGGGACACGATGCAGCTCTCTTCCCCATCTCAGGGCATAATGATGTGTAAGAATAACACACGCTTGGAATTTATGCCTTATCACCCCCAGCCAAGACCCACAATTTATTTAAGTCCAGACTGTCAGTTGGGTGAGCTCGCTGCTTCTTCAGACCTGCCAATCTCCCGGGCCCATCTCTGCGCCCCGGGTTGCTGACAGATCAGTCGTGGCTGGCGGGGCTGGGTTTGCAGGGCTGCTAAGAGTCTAGCATTGCTCTTAGTTGGATAGATTGGTAAGAATTCATGGTGCATGTTTCCAACCTGGATGTCTAGGAGTGATGGGGGGGATCCTGAGATAAAATGGGGGGATCTCCATTGCTAACATTTTGCAGGGCACGTGACAATTTAGAGACGAACGGCCCCATGAAGTTGAGGGAAAGAAATGGACAATCCCTGAGCCTCTGCTTTTCCTCATCTGCAAATTGGGCACGATGATCTTGCCGTGTGGGTGTAGGGCCTACATGAGAGAATGAAAGTAGACTTATTTGGAAGATTACATAAGAGATATCTTTACTGGTTATGAACCCATACTTGGGGTGGCGGGTGGAGTTACTGTTTCTCCTTCTCAGCAGAAGACAGATACCTTTTTTGGGTGATGGGGGAAGGTAAGAGATGAAGTAAAGAATGAGGGGATTGTCCTGTGTGCTTATGTCTCCACAGTAGCAAGCTCCTCTTGAAGTAGTCAGAGGGGATGAAAACCACTGGGTGCCACTGATGGCTTATCTATGTATATAAAAGGCTAATATGCAAAGTGTCCCCTTGGGAGTTCGACTGGGAGACCAGAGTTCGCTCGCTCAGTGTGACATGCGCTGACCACCAGGGGGCGGCGTGGAACGAAGGAAGGCCCTGGTCGGCAGCCAGAAGGCCCTGATCTGCCCTGATGGCCAGCAGGGCCTAGGGACCCTACCAGTGCACGAATTTCCTGCACTGGGCCTCTAATTCCTTAATAATGTTAAGTCCGTTGCTAGAAGCCCAGGGTGACCAATGAGATCTGGGGACCATGGAGTTCTGTAGGAGGGAGATGCATTGATGCTTACAACTCATTTTGAAAATCTATATTTAAATCCCAACAACCAAATTGCATCCACCAATGGATACAGTGGATAGATACCCCCAATCTGCAACTGACCCATTCTAAGTCAAAGAGCATTGTATGTGGGGACAGGGAGAGGGTCTCGCTGCCTTCCAGTAGCTCTTCGAGTAGGTCTTAAGTCACCAACTGGCTCTGCTGCTCTCCCTGGACTGCCATTCACTTTATATTTGCTGTCACTAATTTGTGCAACAGCCCTGTCAGGTTGTTATCATCACTCTCATTTTACAGATGAGAAAACTGAGGCCCCGAACGGCTGAGCCAGGTCACGGAGCTGACAAGTGGAGAATCCAGGGTAAATCCATCTTTGCCTAATTCCAAAGCCTGTGCTCTTTGCTCTCTGGTCCCTACAGCTTACACCCACACACCCTCCCAACCAGCTCTGTTCCCAGCAGGTGAGTCTGGTGCTTTGCTAACACTAGGGCTCTCCCATTTGGTAATGGGGGAGATGCATCTCAAAGGCATGGAATCCTGGGGACATGCAGGCAACAAAAATATTATTGCCCAAACATCTAATTTTTCACATGGAGAGTCTAAGGCCCAGAGAGGTGACATGATCTGCCCTAGGTCACACAGCTAGTTTGGGGGCAGAGTCGAGGTCTGACCTGGGTTTGATGGCTTGGGTCTGTGCTCTTCCTCTCAAGCCATCTGTTTGCACATGCCATGGGTCGAAGATAATGGCTAGGCTCCCTGTCCCAGCGCATTGCATCCAGGAATAAGAGAAAGATTGGCAGCTGCTGCTGGCCCAGGTGCCAGTATCCAGGCTCAGCGTGATCTGTAGGGGCACCCTGCCTTAGAGTCCGGGAAATGCAAAGTGGAGCCCTTGCTGGGAAATTTAGGAAAAGCTGGTACTCATGAAGACATAGTTTTCTGGTCCAATTAAGAGTGCAACCAACATTTCTACACCACGCACCTATTTAAGAAAATAAATTATGTATCAGTTCCCTGAAGGGCCGCTGATATATCCACTTACCGGCACGCAACTGGGCCTACAAGCTTCAAACCTTCCGACCCATTCATTAATCCTGACCTTTAGGGCTGCTCCTAGGCAGTGGGCTTCTTGTCTCTTCTCGCTTACTACACTTGCAGGAAATGAAATTGTACTGCTCCAAATGCCTCTAAAATCAACCTCCCCCGCCCCTTGAGTTGACTGAGCTTTCTTCTCAA